GAAGGAAGGAAGGAAGGAAGGAAGGAAGGAAGGAAGGAAGGAAGGAAGGTTAAAGAAAGCAAGCCACAGCTCATTTCCTCTGGTACTATGGGGTCTAAGTGCTAGTGAAGCAATACAGCACAAAGGAAACAACCCTGAATGTCCTTCACCTTCATAAACTCCAGGAGTGATGAGGAAATTTATATGAGCTAAGTAGTGGCCTCAGCCTCACTTCAGAAAAATTCATAAAACTGCTGGAATCAAACACTGAATGACCAAGATTCCTCTTAATGAAGGCACATAAGGTTCTTCATGGGACTCTTAAAATATTGCAGAAGCCAATCTACTTTTTAAATAATGCATAATACATTTCCTCAGATTATGTTTTCCCATTGATTTAGCTAGAGACACTGCTTTACTATACAAAGATTTAAATTTTTAAAATTCACACACGTCTATCTCTCCTTTTGTAATTTCCTTCTAAAGTCTAGATAAGGAAGGTCTCACCTGCCTCAGGAATGTAAAATTAGTCTTCAAAATTTACTCCCTACATTTGGGATGTTTAAATATTTTTGAGTGTAAGTATTTAATCACTGAAGAATTCGTTTGCCCGTGATGATTGTAAGGGGAAGACCTAGCAACACACACTAATCAGAAGCCCTTAACCCTCAGGCTGAGTTGCAAACAGGTGACCCCACAGTTTCATTCCTCACTCAGCCCTAGAGGTTTCCTCAAGCCAAACATGATAAGACACACCCTATGTACACGTGAGAGTTACCTCACGACAGGGGTACTTTCTGAGAAGCTCACTGTCAGAGGCTTCGGTTGTTCTGTACAGCTCACAGTGTGTGATCAAGGACGTCGTGGCAGGGGCTAATCATTTCCCAGGAGCCACTGGTGCAGTCCAGACACAAGGGAAAGGAGACATAGGAAGGGTTGCTGGTGTAATGCCACATACTGATTACAGTCACATTTTTATTTATCGGCAGAAATGACCGTAGGTGTATACACAGTAAAGGAAGTACATAAGAGACAGTTCCGTGGACACCAGCTATTCCACAGTGTGCGTGAATGTACACACTGACGCTCACCTGCCGCGTAGCCGCACAGCACCTGCCTTACACACCATCACTACACACCATCAGAGGGCTACGAGGTCACCAAGGGACAAGCTTGACGCTCCCTCGCCATTTGTAAAACATCACTCTCATCTGTTTGGTGGTTTGGTTTGTACCGAGACCCTGAATGTAGCGCATGATTGGGTACATTTTTCTTTTTCTCGATCTGGCAATATGTTTTCTTCATAATCATAGTAAGTCTCTTCTCTACGTTATTCCCAGTCCAGCTCTGACCTCTGTGGAGCAGATTCTCTCAGTTGGTGTACTAGGTCCCTCTTCTGTCCTTGAGGAGGGTGGTCAGGTGACGTGGCTTCCTCCAATGGGAGGAGACTAGTATGTACCCAGAAGGCCACACTCTGCATCTGTAGCCTCTTCTCTCTCCCTTTCTCACGCTCCTCCCTGGACAATGGGTTCAATGCCACTTCCTCAACACGACCCTTTGCAGGTGTTGGGGTGTGAGGTATCTTTCTGGCTGCCTGCTACAGATGTTTTTTACATCTACTTTAGACTTCAATCTCACAAACAATAATAATCTGGCACAAAGAGGGAAAGAAGAAAAACTAGTAATGGCTTATGACTTGTCTTCAGAAGTCAAATGTCATTTTTCCTAAAAGTCTAAGACACGCAAAGATTTTATAACAAACCAGATGAGAAATATATGAATGAATGAATGAATGAATGAATGAATGAATGAATGAATGATATGTGCATATTTTCAGGATAAAATCTGACACAAAATACTTGAAGGAAAGTAGAACTGAGAGAGCCACCAAGTATTTAGAGTACAAAATACAGTTCCGGAGAAAGGGGGAGAGCTCAGATCTTGGTGTACAAGCGTGAAGACCCGAGCTTGAATTTTCAGAATCCATGTAAAAAGAACGTTTAGAGGTCAAATATGGCCATGTGTGTCCAGGAAGCTCAATGGCCAGGCAGCTTAGCCAAAACCCCAAACTCTGGGTTCAGAAAGAGACCTTCTCTCAAGGGAGTTTAAGACCTGGTGTGATAGACTAAGATGCCTCTTCTCCTTCCCCTACCTTTGCATACTTGCGTATTCGTGCCCGCCTGCACATATATGTGCATACACACGTACCCAAATACATGCATGCACACACTTTAAACTCCTGTGTTTGGAGCGCTGACGAGGGAGGTTGCTAGTTTCAGTTCCCTCTCCCACATCTTGCCTTCTGTTCCTCAGCTTTGCTCAGATCTCTGTTTTCCTGTACAGACCACTGAGTCAGCATCCTACCGTCAATGACGACCTCCCGGGTCACATCATTTCCGGAAAAGTGCAAGTGAAGCCTAACGTGAAGGAGTTCACGGAAAGTGATGTCATCTTTGACGACGGCACGGTGGAGGACAATATTGATGCCGTCATCTTTGCCACGGGATACAGCTTCTCTTTTCCATTCCTCGAGGGTCTGATTGCAGTTACTGACAATGAAGTGAGCCTGTATAAGCTTATGTTCCCTCCAGACCTGGAGAGGCCGACGCTGGCTGTCATCGGACTCATCCAGCCCCTGGGCATCATCCTACCTATTGCGGAACTCCAGTCTCGCTGGGCCGTGCGGGTGTTCAAAGGTCTGTGGACAGAGGCTGGGAAGGGACCTGCCAGCTCACCTGAAGCCAACCCTCCTTGCTCTCCACACTAGTTTGCTCCTTCTGGTAAAACATGTCCCCCTTTTTCTCTTATTGAAAATAGGTTTGTTTTCTTATATACTATATCCTGATTGTGGTTTCCCCTCCCTCTACTCTTCCAAGTTCCTCCCAGCCTCCATTCCACTCCAGATTCATCTCCTTTCTGTCTCTTATTAGAAAACAAGCAGGCTTAGTGTAGTATAATATAGTTTAGCACAGTATAGTTTAGTATAGTGATAAAACAAAAACTAACAGGTTAGAATTGGACAAAACAAACAAATAGAAGGAAAAGAGCCCAAGAGAAGGCACAAGTAACAGACTTACTAGTTTACACACTAAGAAATCCTATAAAATCACTAAAGTGGAACCCATAATATATATGCAAAGGGCCTATAGGGCCAAAAAAGAGAAGAAAAAAGTTTATAAATGAAACAAAATAAAAATAAAAAACAATAGCGAGGTGTGGTGGCACACGTCTTTAATCCCAGTGCTTGAGAGGCAGAGGCAGGTGGATCTCTATGAGTTCGAGGCCAGCCTGGTCTATAAAGAGAGTTCCGGGACAACCATGGAGGTTACACAGAAAAACTCTGCCTCAAAAAGCCTAATAATAATAATAATAATAATAGATACATTTAAAAAATAAAATAGAAACCCTCCACCACAACATTAAGAAACAAAAGAAACTCCAGAGACTCTGTCAAGTTTGTTATCCATTCGCCATCTACTGCCGAGGCATGCAGCCTACCCATGAGTATTTTGTTTCCTCGGCGAGATTCCCTCGGAGGGAAATAATTTTCATTTGCAAATGGTTATCAATTAGAAATTGCTTCTGAGTTACAGATAGGAGCGTGGGTCCACTTTTTTGAGCTCTAGGGTCTCATCTTGTGTAGACCCGTGCAGGACTTGTGTGTGCTGTTCAGTCTCTGTGAGTTCATAGGTGTGCCAATCTTATTAATTAAGAGGGCCTTGTTTCCTTGGTGTCCTCCATCCCCCAAGGCTCTTACACTCTTTCTCTCTCCTCTACTTCAGGGTTTCCTGAGACCTGGGGAGTGGAGGGGAAGAGCATTTGATGAAAACATCCCTTTCGGGTCTGGCGTTTCAACATCTCCCAGCCTCTGCATAATGTCTGGCCCTGGGTCTCTGCATTTGCTCCCTTCTGCTGCAGGAGGAAGTTTCTCTGATGATGGCTGAGCATGGCCATATCTAAGATTGTTGAAAAATGTCATTTAGTCATGTTTTGTTATTTTTTTGTTTGCTTATTTGTTTGTTTTTTAGAACAGTAATTTTGGGGTTTACCCTTGTTCCCAGGGCTATGCAGACTCAGGTTCTTGGTCACCCAAGCAGTGCTGGGTATGGGTTTCATTTCGTGGAATGGACATTTAGTCAAATCAGATATTGGTTGGTTACTCTCACAAGCTTTGTGCCACTGTCTCTTCCCAAGTGTCCTCCCTTGTCTCCCTCCTCCCTCCCTTTCCCCTCTTGATCCTCCCATCCATCCATAACTATCTATTTCATTTCCCTTTCTAGTGAGATGTATCTATCCCTCCAGTCCCTTTCTCTATGACTAACCTCAGTTGTTCTATGGATTATAGCTTAATTATCATTAACTTAACAGCTAATATCCACATATAAGTGAATATTTACCATATTTGTCTTTCTGGGTCTGAGTTACCTCACTCAGGATGATTTTTTTTTTCTAGTTTCATCCATTTACCTACAAAATCCATTATTTCATGTTTTTAGCAGCTGAGTAATACTCCGTTGTGTAAATGTACATTTTCCTTATCCATTCTTCTTTTTAAGGAAATTTAGGTTGTTTTCAACTTCTTGCTACTATGAATAGGCAGCAATGAACATGGCTGAGCATGTGTCTCTGTGGTAAGAAGAAACATCCTTTGGGTATATGCCAAGAGTAGTATAGCTTGGATCTTAAGGTGGATTTATTCCCATTTTCTTGAGGAGCCTCCACACTGATTTCCATACTGGCTGTACAAGTTTGCACTCCCATCAGCAGTGAATGATGGCTCCACTCCCATATCCCTGCCAGCATGAGAGTTCACTTGTATCATTGGTCTCAGCCATTCTGCCAGGTGTAAGATGAAATCTCACAGTAGTTCTGATTTGCATTTCCCTGATGACTCAGGATGTTGAGCGTTCCTTTAAGTTACACATGCCTTTCTTATTCTTGCAAATCCTGATGGACTTTTCACTTCCAGGGCTGAGCAAATTACCCTCCATGAAGACCATGAAGGCAGATATTGCCCAAAGGAAAAAGGCTATGGAAAAACGGTAAATAAAAATGCAGTGACAATTGTTTGGAAACTTCAAAGAGATGGCAGGGTGCCTACTATGGAATTCTAACTTCTTCACATGCATCTCACTCTTCTCCATTCCCTACACCATGCTCTCACACAGCACGGAACCAAGAGCACGCCTTAGCCCTCTGGCCCAGTTCCGTGGTGAATGAGTGCATGGCCATCCTCTCCATGTTTTATCTGCAATTACATCTGCCACTTCAGTCTCCATCTTTAGTGATGTTTCTTCTGGGCTGTCACCATGGAAGCTTAGCTGACTCCCCGAAAGTGACATTAGTCTCTGAGTTTCACCATAATCATGTTTCTTACTGACCAGCTAATGGCCCAAGGCTAAGGTACAACTAAAGACTGGGGCCAGAGCACTAATGACTGTCTGATTACTCATCCCTGGTTGACAACGAATACAGAAAGGGACTGGAAGTTAAGTTCTCCATCCAATCTACACACTACACAGCTAACTGTTTAGCTGCACCAAAATCTTTTCTTTGAAAAGAAAAGAAAACTACTTCTTTCATTATACGGGTTCTGGAAATGAAACTTAAGTCATGAGACTTCTTAGAAAGCTCCATTTTCTGTTTTTTCTTTTTCTGACCTCCACATATGTACACTCCAGCACTTATGTGCACACACACGCAAAGTAAATAAGTGAATGCAAGAGAATCACTTCTAAGAAAGGTATCTTAAAGGATAGAGATCACTATGAACACAGTCTGAAGTTCAACAATGTGGTGCAAAAAAAACAAACAAACACCAAAAAAAAAAAAAAAACAGTGAAGGTACATGGAGGATGGAGGCATGGATTCTGTGTCCTCAGTTCCATTATGTGTTGTGTTTCTTCACCTCTAGGATAGAAATAGTTAAGAGTTCCTGCCTGGTGCTGAAGACTGAGCCTCCCATACTCTGCCTCTGTGTTTTAGGTATGTGAAGACAGCTCGGCACACCATCCAGGTGGACCACATTGAGTACATGGATGAGATTGCCACTCTGGTCGGGGTGAAGCCCAACCTCCTATTCCTGTTTCTCTCAGATCCAAAGCTGGCCCTGGAAGTCTTCTTTGGGCCCTGCACCCCATACCAATACCGTTTGCAGGGTCCTGGGAGATGGGGTGGGGCCCGGAGAGCCATCCTGACTCAACGAGAGCGGATCATCAAGCCCTTGAAGACTCGAATTACTAGTGAAAACAGCCTCTCCACCTCAGGTCTCTCTTGGAGAAAGATGGCACCATTTGGCCTGGCATTTTTGGGTGCAGGTTTAGCATACTTGAGATATATTTATCATGATAAACACAAATGAATGAATTGTTTCATGGGGTGGGGGAGGGGGACATTTACAATTCTATTCATTTTAGATCTCCACAAAGCCTTTAGTCAGTAGACATGTCAATTTCATTTCACAGGACCATAGCTACAGAAAGGTTTAGATATACTCCACAAGTAGAGAATTCCTTTGAGATGGGGGTATGCTAACTTTTGCTAAACATTTTGACTGCACTAGGAGAGCTTGCTTTTAAGACAGTCTTAAGGCCCTATTTAAAGCTGGGGAGACGTTCGCAGTCAAGGGGACCCTAACTGGTTCCGCAAAGGTTGGTTATATTTACAGGGATTTATAAATACTGACTTTGCGCTGGTTTTATTTTCCACTTTATAGTTTCTCCTTCCAACCTATCCTGTTCACATTGTATCAAGCCACAAAAGCTTAAGTTTCAAACACAGAAGTTTAAAAATGTAAGTCAGAATGTTTTGTGTTTCGACAGATTAGAAATAATAAAATTTTCTTTTCACTTAAATTGTGATTGTTCAAAGAAAGAACTAAAGGAGAAAACAGAGTGCATGTCAAAGCGATCAGGGAACAACTTTAACTTCAGTATTTAGAAATACATAATTGCTGTGCTGTATTAAGGCTGAATGGAGATTTAAGTAGTGAACGTGAGTCCGTGCTGGCTGCCATGTCTCTTTACCTGGCTTTCTGAGCACTCTTTCTCTATGTGGGGAGAAGTGGCTTTCTCACTGTGGGAGTTCCAGGAGTGCCAGAAAGCTTCTTTGCCTCAACTGCCTTCTCGTACAGCCAACTATCATGAACTGTTCCTAAGACGCCACCGCTGCCCTTTTGCTCTCCTGACTATAAAACCCCAAATGACCATGAATGAAAGTGTGAAAACCAAGTAGGGAGACTGAGAAGCATCAGTAAGCTGTTCCAGAAGCATCAAATGGAAACTTATTCCCCGAGAAATAGCCCCCTTTCTCGGCAGAATAACTCAGCTGAAAGTTTGCAGAGAGATAAGTGCCCACATGTGTCCCAGGAGCTGAAAACGAATGGAGAGAATTCTGGGCCTCAAGACTTTCATGCTACTTCAAAATAACAATATAATCATCTGATACATCTGTACTTAGCCATAAACGTTATTGACAACTGTTGGGATAACCAATTCTCAGAGGCTTAAACTATTAAGAAAGGGAACATCGCAGACATGATTAAGATAAATTAAAAAAAAAAAAGTCATGTGGGAACAAAACCTGACCATTGGCTCCTCTCTTGAGTCACACCTCACATTTATGACAAAACTGCACCAAAGACACATCATTCTTTCATTTGAAAAAAAAAAAAACTTTCTTATTTTATTGACACAATGTTTTCTTCTGTGCTGCTTATTCTCATAACATCCAAATTCGTTCTTCCATCTCCAGCTATAGGTTGTGTTTCCAACACCTGCTGATCTTACCTTCTGGACATCCCTAAGGCCTGTTTTATCTTTCCCAAGTGAACCACCAGAGTTTAAGTTCAGCTCTTGACAATTTCACATCTCAGCAAGTTAAGCATTCTTCTTCTTCATAACCTTGTCATCTGTCAAGCTTATCTCTGGTCCCACCTCCACACACTGCCATGATTCCATCTGAAGGGAAAGATCTCACCTTCCCTCTCCCTTAAAATGTCTTCAGCTACAAAAGAGAATAGCTGTCTAGAACTGCCATTCACTGGCTCCTCCTGTCTCATCCCCAGGCTCTTCTCTGTGAAGAAAACTCCACACCTGGGCGTATCCACGTGCATTTTGCTCTACATTGTATAGACTAATCCATTTGGGAAAGTCCCCTTTCTCTTTTCAACATGAAAAATTGTCCTTCATCTCTCAAAACATGGTCTCAACCCCACATCCATTAAGAACCATTATCTGACCCTTAATTCTTCCACCCTAAATAGATGTAACTAGAGGAAATTAAGAAAACATAAAATGAAAAAAAATTAGGTTCCTTCCATAAAGTGGAGGCCTGGAGACAATGTGTGAGATATAAAAAGAGTCATTTTAAAAAAAGGGGAGGACACCTTTCTAGACAGAAGAAGGAGAGGGAGAGCTTTGGGAATCCACAAAACATACCTGGGGGGAAAAGACTGCTGTCACAGAAGACTAAGCCAGGCACATCCCAGCACACACACACACTCACTGCCCCGATGACAGGAGGGAGGGCAGAATGGCTTCTTGTTCTATCCTTGCTGGTTAGTGCTGGGAAAAAAGAATATACTCTCCACCACCAAACCGAAAGAGATGTAAAGACTAGCAGATGTGCAGATAGCAATACAGATACACAGTAAACATGAAAAATCAGGACAAGATGACGCCTCCAAAAGATGATAACTTTTCAACTGTAAACCATAAAAGCACTGAAATGGAGAAAATGCCAGATTATATTTCCAAAGTTTTCTGATTTTAAAAGACCATTGACCCAATAGAGAATACAAACAAGCAGATACAGATAGTACAGGGCTAGGGAGGAAAGTCAACAGGAGAGATGGAAAATTAAGCAACGTGAATGACAAAATCAGGTACATGTGTAGAATGTCAGTAACACGGAAGAACAGTTCATCAAGAAAAGAGAGATTTGAGAGGAAACTAATAAACTATTGGAAATGATATATGTAGTGAATCAAATTTTAAAAACAAAAAAAAAACAGTAAAAAAAATTTCAATAGACTCAACCAAGCTGAAGAAAGAATATTAGAGATGGAAGAAAAAGTTGACACATTCAGACATAAAAGAAAATGAGGGGCTGGAGAGATGACTCAGTGGTTAAGAGCACTGGCTGTTCTTCCAAGGATGTGAGCTCAATTCCCATCAGCCACATGGTAGCTCAGAACCATTTGTGAGGCCAGTTTCAGGGGATTTGATGTCTTCTTCTGACCTTTTCAGGCACAAGCAAGTCAGGCACGCACACGGACAAAACACAGAATAAAAATAATTTTAGAAAAGAAAATGAGCATGGTCATAATGTCAAATAACTCTAGAACATGACCTAACAACCAACCTAAGAATCTAGGGGGCAGAAGGAGCTGAGGTAAATATTAAAGACATTTATTAAAATGTATTCAATGAAATTATAGCAAAAAAATCCCAAATCCAGGGAAAGAAACAAATATACAAACATAAGTAGCATTCAGAACCTATACAGACAAGATCAGAGAAGAATCTTCCCATGATATATCATCATCAATATGTCAAAATACAGAATAAAGAAACAATATTAAACCAGCAACACAATCACTAAGGCAGAAACACCTAAACAACACCAGCCCTCTTATAACCTTATAAGACAGGAAAGCACTGAGCAACATTTCAAGCTCTGGAAATAAGAAACCTCCAATAAAGATTACTAGATCCAGTAATCTGTCCTTCAAAAACAGATGTAAGCTGGTTGTGGTGGTGCAAACCTTTGATTGCAGCACTCAGGGAGGCAGAGGCAGGCATATCTATCTGGGTTCGAGACCAGCCTGGTCTACAAAACAAGTCTAAGATAGCCAAGGCTATACAGAGAAACCCTATCTCAAGAAACAAACAAATGAATGAATGAGTAAATAAATAAATGAAAATAAAAACAGACATAGAAAAAAGGACATTTCAAAACAAGCATAAACTGTAGCATTTTATGACCATCCAGACAACACTATGGAAGTTGCTTAATGGAATACCATATACAGTAAAGCACCACAGTGTCAGTCACAAAAGAACAGGAAAGAAAAAGTTTCATGACAGCAATAGATGGGCAAAGAAGAACTAGGAAGGAATAAAATATGTTTAATGCAGTGAACAAAACTCTTCTACTAACAAAATAGAAAATATAGGACAATAATACAACTAACAAAGGAAAACAACCAAGAAAATTTCAAAAGTCAGTACATAACTCCCAGTTATAATCATAAAGATGAGTGGTCTCAACTCAGCAGTAAAGAATGGAAACTAGACGATTGGATTAAACATCTAGATCCAACTATCATTTTTGTGGTATATGCATTCCAAGAAATGCATATACCACAGACGGAGAGACTAAGAATGGAAAGTAATTTATCAAACAAACAGAAACCTCAAGTAGGCTGACATAGCTATTCTAATAACTGATAAAGTAGACTTCAAAGGAGAGTTAGAAAAGATAAAGAAGGCCACTATACATTAGTGAGAGCACACACCATCAAGAAGGCATAACCATTGTAAATATTTTAGCATATTTATTATATATAATATATTATATAAATATAAAATACTATATATTTAATTATATAATATTACATAAATGTTATACACTTATTTCATATGTATAAAATAAAAACCAGGCTTCCCATTTCAGAGTCTATTAAACATATAGGTAAGTAGATTCCTATACAATACTATTAGGTGACTTCAATAAGCCACTCTTATCTCTAGGTAGGGTCATTCAAACTAAAAATCAACAAAGATGACTCATAGTTAAGGTATATTATAAAGCAAATGCACTTAACATATTCCTACAGAATATTTCACCCAACATATACAGAGCACAAATTCTTCTCAGCAGCCCATGGAACCTTCTCTAAAATACAGTACGCTACAGACCACAAATAAAGTCTTACAAAAGAATCAAAGAACCAAAACAATTTGATTCAAAAGACAAAGGAATAAAAATAATTTAGACAGTTAAGGCTATTTTAAGAGGAATGCGTATAACTGACAGTACTTATATCTAAAAATCATAAATGTAAAAAAATAACAATAAAAATTAATGATACGGTACAAGTCCCTACCAAAGCAAGAATGATTCAAACCTCAAAGCTTCTTGAATTTATGTTTATTTTTATGTTCCCCATCCAGCACTTTAGCATTTTCTGACTTGCCTACTGGGAATGTGCTGTGGTCTTCCAGGGAATGCATGTTTGTCTCGATATCTTTATGTTTCTTATATTTTTGTTCCAGTCTGTACAACATTGGGTCTTTTGAGTGAGCAGCCATCTCTAATAGACTCTGGGTCTCCACTCAGAGAGAAGAAACAAAGCTC